AATCGGCTGCAAAGGACCACATGCAGCTTATTATGAGCCTGGGCATGTGGACGTGCAGCACTGTAGCCAAAACAGGAAGCAAAAAGGCAAAAGCCTGAAACTGTCACAGGCCTCCCAGACAGCTGAAACGCAGACAAACCCTGATCAGTTCTTCTGCTTCGGTCATATTTACAGCTGCCTGGAAATCTGAGCACGCACAGCCTGACGTCAGAAAACTCTGAGAACAAAGCTTCATCTCATCATGACCAAAATGCAYGTTGAACTGGTGTTTCAGCGAATCAGGAAGATGTATAAAAGCAGTGATTGCTTATGATTTTAAAAAGAGGAAGAAAATACATTTAATAAATAAATCATAAATGATTTGTTAAAACTGATACTTATGCAGGCCTGAGAATTAAGGATAGAATCGTCACATTTTTGGTTTCTCGATCACCATAGTGGTCCATATTACTGTAGAAAAAATTATATCTAATATATATACATTTTACTTACAATATACCAAAAAGGGTAATGGTCAGAATTAAAACAGCTACATGAGCTACATGACCATCTGGTGACCTGGTGACAGAACAACTCAACGCTCTGAAAACAGCGGAGATGATCATTGATTAACTCGATCATTGAAGGTACGCAGCTCCCCTCACCCCCATCACCCTGCAARGGCTCCACAATCGCCACAGTGGAGTCTTTCTGCTTCCAGCATCACCCAGAAGCTCAAGCGGGAGCTGAACATCAGCTTCATCATCAGACAAAAGCCCAGCAGAGGGTCTTCTTCCTGCGGCAGCTGAAGAAACACAACCTGCCAAATTCTATAATGGTGCACTTTAGAGTCATCATAAAGTCTATCCTCACCTCCTCTATCACCATCTGGTACCCTGCTGCCACCACCGGTTAAGGACAGGCTGCAGCGCATCTTTCACTCTGCAGAGAAGGTCATTGGCTGCCACCTGACCTCCCGCCACGACCTGCACACCTCCTCTAAAGCAGGCAGGGAAGATCCTTGCAGACCCCTCCACTCCGGACATGGACTCTCTGTGTTGCTGTTCATCAGGACCACAACTTCCCACCACAAAAACTATTTCTTTCCCTCTGATTCAACCCCCCTTGCAWGTCATTAATCTATTAACATGATGCTTTGCACTAGTGCAATGTGTGCRCTGCAGTTATGTTCATTTGCACAAAAAGTTTTTCATCTGCAAAAACTTTTACTTGATGCTTTTTTTTGCTTTTTTTTGCACAGTGTGTCATACCTCCAATTTTTASCTACTGTTTTTATTCATGTATAATACTAATTTAACCCTAAAAATGATCCATAAAGTGTGTGTGCGTGTGTGTGTGTGTGTGGGGGGCGGTATTATACATGAGTTATTGATGATTATATTTTTTATTTTTATGCTTCTTAATCTAAAAAAAATAATCATATTATACTATAGATTATATTATATATGAATAAATATGGTAGTTTCTGTTAAACTATTTTTAGTCAACACCCTCATACTTGTATTTGATGTTCTATTTCTACATTTCTTTCTATTTAAACCTTGTACTTTTGTTTTTTTATCCTTGCTGACTTTGTTTGCTCTGCACTTCAACAACACCACGTCAAATTCCTGGTAAATAAAATTACCTGATCAATAAATCGTATTCTGATCAAGACATTTCTGTTTGGTAGATTATTTCTTTGTTGTAACAATGCTTCTTGGCAATAAATCTTATAGTGGGCACCTGACTGGCACCTGGAGGTACCAGAAGCTGCAAACAAGCAAAATAAGCTGTGTGTAAACCACATACTCAGCTCTACTGCTCATCCCACAAATGCAAGTTCTTTACAAATGGCACCATTTCAAAAAGAAACTAACAGACTTCCCAACAGTATACGATTTATTGCCAAGAAGCATTGTTACAGCAAAAAAATGATCTGCCAAACACAAATGTCCTCACTTTTTGAGYGAAGTATGATGTTCAAGCCACTCTGGATGAGAGAAGGGTTTCTGTCCTGAGGAAGYCTTTCCCTTTGTCCTTCCTTCCTTTTTTCATTCAAGTAGCCAATTCTGTTTGGTGGAGAGGGACGGAAAGGGGAAACTTTCCAAAATGGCTGACACCCAGCAGTTCAGAACATCTCTGGGAGGCAGAGTAAATCATCAGTCCCTCCAGTCCTGTCATTAATAAGCTGCTGTGTGGTGTTTTGGAAATGCTAAGGCCGATGCTGWTGAACAAACGAACCGCAGTGTCCTTCTCATTCCAGTCCCAGGCCTACATTAAACTCTCTGTGTTGTCCGATTATCATCTGTTAATTCTAATGGGAGCACCTCTCTGCATCGCTCCCTGTCCCCTCCATCCTGCCTGGATCCCTCACAGGCCAGGCCCAGACACTCATCCTTTGCATGTCAAYAAAATGTAGTTTTTAAACTGAGCACACGATAAACTCTAAGGTTGCCCTGTGGCCATCAGCTGAAGGTATCCATAAAGTCACCCATTCAGAGCTTTCAGTAACTTCAGCACATTTAAACACTCACTCCTCCTGCACAGTGGGGTGACAGATACTCCCCCTGTCTGTCTCACAAACCTGYACCATGAGGCAGGCACATATCACACAGTCACTGGTGCCTTGGCAGCAAAGTATTAGATGTGGAAAAAAAAATCAGGGCTTACCTCTGTGGCTGCATGACTAAAAACTCTGTGATTGTGTCAGTGCTTATTAAAACATGGAGGACAGCCCTGTCAGCCCTCACCCTGCTCTGAGCACGGCTGTCTGACTCCACTGTTCTGATGAAAGCCACGCTCACACTGGCCGAATGTAAGGCAGCTGCTGATTGGTGCAGAGCATTTCCTGGCTGCTTCTCTTTGTTTTACTACAAGCAGACTGAATCACAAGAAAACCAAAAACCCTGATCTGATAAATCAACCTCTGCCTTTTTCACATCAGCTAACAAAGCTAACAAAAAGACAACWGTAATTTTATAAACTTGTAATAAATCATGTTTTGTTGTGGCTCAGAGTAATGGTGAGGACTTAGGAGCAGAATAGGCCAAAGCTGTATCTTATCAGGAATAAACTGATTTTGTTGTTCTCCATACATGTGAAATAACCATCAGAACTCAAGTCAGAACACAAAACAAAATGTACTTTGACTTATAAGGATTTATTAACCGCGGTAAAAATACCGACTAAGCACCAGTCATGTGATTGACCTCAGTGTGACCTTTGAGTTGGTGTCACTGCATGTTTACATGGTTCATTCTGAAACAATGGGCTTCAGTTTCAGAGGCTCCTTCCGGCATGAAGCACAAGAAAATGTACTTTATACAACACTGTCTGATGTTCACTACCTTTACTGTCAGCTTCCTTTTCAGCTCTGCTGTTGGGTTAAATTTGACTTTTAATAAAAAAAAAACAATCCTGTGTGATTCAGATAAGCTGAAAAAAAGTATTTTTATATTTCATTGAGATGTTAATAATCTGAAAAGACAAACAGTCTGAGACTCACTCTGGTTCTTGCATTTTATCTGAAAAAATAAAGAAATATTTGGGTGGAAAAATGTTTTATTGTAATTAGCTGTGAGAAATACTTTTCTACGTCCAAGATTTTCATTGAATTTTAAAATACTTTAATGTTCAGGTGATTCTACTTTGTCTTAAAAAAAGGTGACATGTTTGGTCTCAGTGTATCAGATATTTCTCTTTGTGTTTAATTTCCTGCGGCTATCTTCACATCAGCGGTTCATTGTCTGCTTTTACCTTTAATCTTGGTCGTCTCTTCGTGTCTCTTTGGGATTCCTGTGCTCCCCGTTTTCTGCAAGTTTTGGAGCAACACCTGCCTTTGTTTTTGTTTTTAAAAAGTATTTTATTTTTTAATCCATGAGTTCCTTTCATGGTTCAAATTGCAAATTTATGATTGGTGCACATCTTTCGTCGTCAAAAAGTCACAAATAATGATGTTTCGTAAACCAAGACATTTGAAAATGTATAAGCAATGGCAATAAAATAGAAAATGCAAACTAACAAGCAACAATCTTTAATGCGATCTACATGTAGTTGGATGACATTCCCAGTATGACGTAAAAACAAGAATGGTGTGTTCAGGGTTATGGTGAAGTCTTGAGGCTCAATGGGATTCACATCAGACGTAATAGAGTACAAACAAAACCAGGATCAAGGTTGTGCTGGTTTACCATTGGGAGGTCTTGCATGGAGTTTTGTAGCTGCATTGGTAGTGTATGTATGTATGTATGTATGATGGAACGGCCACACTAACATGGCTTGGTCTGGTCGCCATGACCTCATTTCTACAACCATGTCCACAGAAACAACCCAAAACAGACATGATACCTGAGACGACTGTGGTGTTTTAGTGTGTGAGCATCTTGGTCTGAGTGTTAGAACGGGGGGACGAGTGTAACATCTCAATGAACATCTCAAACATCCTGAAAATAGCTGAAAACATTTAAAATCTCCTTGTCAGGAGAGAGAGGGAGTCAAGTAGGTGTAAAGCAGTGGTGCCCAAACATTTTCCCTGAGAGGGCCAAAATTAAAATCAATCTGAGGGCTGCAGGCCA